CCACAAGAGGGTTATTCGGAGCTGCTCAGCTGTATTAATCTTTTCTAATTTTACTAGCATCTTGAGGTCCTTGGAACTCCAGCAGCCTGAAGTACAACAGCTGCCTCAACATGAATTTGACACAGTTTGCCAGCAGAGTGAGGAAAAATATTGGGTTGGAAATAAAAATGGTAGTTTTGTCCTCTGTTTTTTAATATTTTAAGGATAAATACAGGGTCTTCTACTAATGTATCAACTGCCCTTAGGTAGCTCTCTTTTGTTTGTTGTGATGATTGTAACAGTCTTTCGTAGGAAAGCCCAGTTAAGCAATATGCCTGACCATATTAGCAAGGTTGGATCCCTTGTCCTGGTCTCTAGGAAAGAAGCAACCGACCAAAAAAAACAACCCCTTGGCAGTCAACTTATACAAAGAACTGTTCTTAAAAATAAAGCTCCTGAAATTGTATTTAAACAATTAACTGTTTGGCTTCCAAAACTGCATGCAACGAGCCGTTCTGATTTGAAGTCTGCATGATTTGTGGAGAGTGGGGTATTCCTGAAAGCCAGGACAACTGGTGTGATAGGTTATAAGAGCCATGTGTCAGTTACCTTCACTTTTTTCCTTTTAAATTCACTGTTGTTGCTGGAAGGTTGTAATCATAGGTAATTCATCTTTATTTAGGCACAGGGCGAAGGGGAAAAGATGTTTTTCAACAAACTGCTGAAAGTTTGTTCTCATTATAGGCAGGCTTTAGAGTAAGATCCAGGTCCAATAAGACAAATATCAGCACAGTCTTCCAAGTCAGTTATTAAAGTGTCTTCATTATGGGTTTGGGTTTTTTTTTTTCCCAGCAATGAGATTGCCATTCATTGTTTTATGATACTGTCTCATTGGTCTCTGCACTGAAAAGCCATAAATATGCCAGTGCATCTGTGCAGAGGATCTCCGTTAGGGCTTGGGCCAGGACCACCCACTCATTTCTCCTGAGCAAACCAGTAGCTGTAAGATAGCACCTTTTCATTAGCTACTGACCTGGACTGGATGTGAACTGGTGACAAACAGGTGAAAGGTATTTTGTATTGCATTATTAATCCTTAGAGCCGTCAAGTCCTTCTATTAAAAACTTATGAATAACATTTTTGTCTTTCAAATAGGTCCGCTATCATGCAGTTGTACTTACATTTTTTGCTTTGTAAAATTGCCAAAGCATGTGGTTATGCATATACAATGGCACACCCTGCTGCTAGAAACTGGGAGGTTTCCAGGGGCTCTCAATGCCTGCGTTTCTATGGGTCAATACGCATAAGAGTGAACATGCACACAAAATGCCTTCCTGCCCCAAATGATTATTTTTCAGCTGTTTAAACAATTATTTGGATTTTCTTTAAAAGTTAGAATTTTATTCCCTTGTGCCATGTGTTTTACTTAACGCTGAAAATATACAGTGGGAAGGGACAATGACAGGGTTTGCCGTCTTAATCTGACTAGACAGTATGTACAGTCTGTTGTGGTAGTTAAGGGGTATATTGGGTAGTTGAAAAAAAATGGATAAATGCTAAATTTTTGTTGTGAAATAGCTTGAGTCTGTCAAGTGATTGGATTTTATATCATTTGACACAAAAATACTGTATATTAAATCTGTGCTGAGGTATTGACATTTTAGCAGCAGACAGATGGCACCAAAGAGGACATTTTAGATGGTGTGATGCAAGGTTCCTCAGAATGTCATTCCGCAAGAAAGTGCTTTTATTTTTTTATTTACATTTTTGACAAATGTGGATATATGACAGTGTTGGCCAACATGAACAAATGGAACTGTGCTGTCTCAGGTGATATAATGCAAGATTTTTCTCCCCTTTATCTGTGAATGAGTATTTGAGCCTGTGAATAACACAGTCATTCCTCTGATGCTATGTATGCTGGCACCTGTCATCATTACATACTCCGGGTCTCCTGACTGGCCTGAACTTGAGTGCAATATGTCATTTAGAAAGTGCCAAAAAGAGTACAGCAGTCATGTATTTTTGGCGATCCCAGTAAATGAAAATTAATCACGTCTGACAAATGTTTGTGGACTTACAGTCATAGTTCTGTAGGCAGAAGCTATGTATTTTGAGACTGTATTCTGTGAACTGTCCCTTTATGTTTTTGAAATAGACACTGAGACAGAGTGCAACCAGATAAAACTAATGATGTTAGTCTGTTAAAAAAAGCAATTATGAAAAATCTGTAGATGTTAATTCTGTCAGTATTAGTGATACATATGCTTGGTGCCTGTCATTTTGAAGCCTCAAGGCTGGACTTACATATGTCATGGTAACTTTTGCCAGATTAGGAGTGCCAACATTGGAGTTAAATGTGCAAAATGTTGTGTTTAATTATTCGCTCCCCCCCTTATGTTAATTTGAATAATTAATTTATACAGACCCAAATTTACATTCGGTTTTCAGTTGGGGATTATTTTCTTCTTCATTTTTTGTTCTCAACTATGGTTGTATGCTATTTAAAAAAAAAAAAAAAGAAACTATTTAGTCTATAGACGTGTCTTTACTGCACTAGTAGATGAGGAAAAATCAGTCTGGGCTACATAGAATCATAGAATGGTTTGGGTTGGAAGGGACCTTACAGACAATCTAGTTCCAACCCCCTCTGCCATGGGCAGGGACACCTTCCACTAGACCAAGTTTCTCAAAGCCCCATCTAACCTGGACTTGAACACTGCCAGGGAGGGGGCAGCCACAGCTTCTCTGGGCAACCTGTGCCAGTGCCTCACCACCCTCACAGTAAAGAACTTCCTTACCTATAATCTAGATCTACCCTCTTTCAGTTAAAGCACTTACCCCTCGTCCTGTCACTACATGGCCTTGTAAAAGTTCTTCCCCATCTTTCCTGTAGGGCCTCTTTAGGTACTGGAAGGCCACTGTAAGGTCTCCCCAGAACCTTCTCTTCTCCAGGCTGAACAAACACACCTTTCTCAGCCTGTCCTCACAGGGAAGGTGCACTATCCCCCTGATGGTCTTCGTGGCCCTCCTCTGGACTTGCTCTAACAGGTCCGTGTCTTTCTTGTGCTGGGGGTCCCAGAGCTGAATGCAGCACTCCAGGTGGGGTCTCATGAGAGCAGAGTAGAGGGGGAGAATCACCTCCCTTGACCTGCTGGCCACGCTTCTTTTGATGCAGAGATATGGTTTTTTGTTTGGGGGCGTGTGTTTGTTTGTTTTTTAAAAAACAGGCATGAGAGGCAGTGTGGTATAAGAGTATAGGCTATCGTGTAGTTGCACCATTTGATTGACAGGAGCCTTGTGCCGTGTGCATATGGTTTTAAGGTATATGTGTTTGCCAAAGAAAGTTCACTAAATAATAAGGCTAAACTCTTGAATGAACGTTCATTTTGTGAAACTGGAATATTGTAAAAGATAAGCCTTCTTGTATCTCTGCCAGGATGATCTCTTGGAAATATGGCCTTTATGTTGTTTTTGATGGAACCTGGTCTTGATATAGTTCTTGGTGTGCTGCACGACTTCTTTCTCTATTTTATTGTCTCTAAGGCCCTTGAGGGAAATACTGAGAATCTGGAGCAGCTGTAATCGTGAACAGACCTCGTTATTATTCCTGATTTAACTTGTGGGATAGTGCAGGATGTATGCAGTGTCTGTTTCCAGACCACAAAACTTGAGAAAGCCTATATGCTTATATCTGTGAAATAACACTCAAGGCAACCTTGTGAGGTGCAGACCACAATGCCTTTCTTCCACAGTGGTTAAGCTTAACTGTTCTTTATTCTGGAGGCCTTCTATTTCATAACGCAAACCGCAGCAACTAATTTCATGGGGATAGGGATAAACAGGTCACAGGTATCTTCTTGAGTAGTTGATGGTGACTTGTGTTTGAGTATGAGACTAGGCTAATCCAATATCACTGGTTTCTTCAAGAAAAGAGCAATGACCACTAATGGATCTGCTGTGGTGCTTGTGTACTGTAATGCAACTTAAGTGGCTTGGTGATTTCAGTGACAAGATAATCTGTGGTTTAGAACATGTCTGTTCTTTTTACCATCATTTCTGTTGTGGTTTTTTTTTTTTTTTATTTTGTCATATGGCCATTGTCTTTAAAAATTACTTTTTCTGTTTCAGTTATGTTTTATGGTTAACAGAATTGATTTCTGATGAAATCTTACTTCCCACATTAAAATCAGAAATATTTTCTATTTTTTTACTTCCCACATTAAAATCCAAAATATTTTCTATTTATATACCTTCATTTGTGTTGACTTTACTGTTTGCTGTGTATATAGAGTTATTTAGGACACAAGGAAATGGAATGAAGCTGCACAAGAGGAGTTCATAGTGGACATTAGGAAAAGGTTCTTCACTGAGAGGGTGGTATGTCACTGGAATGGACTCCCCAGGGAGCTTGGTCGTGGCACCAAGCCTGTCAGAGTTCAAGGAGTGTCTGGATGATGCTCTTAGTCATATGGTTTAGTTTTAGGTAGTCCTGCAAGAAGCAGAGAGTTGGACTCGGTGATCCGTATGGGTCCCTTCCAACTTGAGATATTCTGTGATTCTATTATTTCATAGAACCAAAACGTGGTTTTCCCTTTCCCCCCTCACTCCCCCTTTTTAGATCATGACTAAAGCTCCCTCCTACCTTCCCTTCTGATTTCACCTTGGGTTTGTGTATTGCTTGTCCTGATGCCTGTCCAGAAAAGTAGCATGGAGCTTGATGTTCACCCAAAGCCCTTTACAGTATTTTTAGCAATACATTTCTACTACTTCCTTACTTCTTGGACACTGACAATGTTGGACATGTTTCTTCCTCAGTCTGGAGATCTGCAGCATATAGTAGCTGACCACAAAACTCACTGTAACACTTAAACATTCATATTTACTTAAGTTAAGACTATTGATAATAGTAGTTGTTTTTCTCTAGTGCATGGAATTTGGAAATTGCAACTGTACATGATCGCTCCATGGTGACACACTGTTAAAATAATTTTCTCCCACCCCTGTTTTTTTTTTTTAAGGGACGCAAGAGTGAGGCAGAAAAGTACTTCGTGAAGGCTATTCAGCTGGATCCTACCAAAGGAAACTGCTACATGCATTATGGTATGTTTCAGATAGATAGGGTTTCCACACATATTCCAGGCTTGCTGTTAATCTCTCTGAGTGATTAAGGATTTGAAAAGTGCTACTGGCAAAATATCTTCTTTAAACGGAAAGAAACTAATCTACCATGTATAACTTCATCTCCATTTCAATTTGTTAATCACTGCAGAGGGAGAGGTGAAGATTTTTATATTTTGCATAGCTTTCCTCTTGTGAGAGGAATTTCAGTGTTCCTGCCTCTCTGGGAAAGAAAAAAGGTGACTACTGCCATATGTCAAAGTTTCATGGCCTGGAATATTATTATTAACAGTTTTGGCTTAACTTTGGTGGCTGCTGGTGGGTGGGCAGTTAGAAGTTATACTTTAGTGTGCGTGAGTTCTATATATTGAAGGGTCTGCTCTTTTTTTTGAAGACTTACGAGCCTTACATCTACCCCCTTCCCAGCATCTTCATGGCTTGAAATGGATAAGTATTATAAAAGGTTTTGACAACTTGGCTATATCTTTCTGATAGTAAGCCCCACATGTGCATAAAGCACACAGTTAATTTGAAGGTATCTTTATAACTTTGCATTGTTTTTGCTAGATATGCAAAAAATATTTCCAGATGTGATTAGTCCCAAGGAACCAAAAATATTTAACTTCATGGACTAATTCTTACTGTATTTTAAAGCTGATAATAGACAAATCTAAAAATGCAAGCTATGTAGTCCCAATTGGAAAATATAGAAAGCAGTAATAAATTTCATCTTAGCTAAGGAAGAAGGTAGGGAACCACAAGCATGCTATATATATCTTTGTATATTGTTTTAATTTCCTTTTCTGATTCTAACTGGTAAATGTAAAATAAATAAAAATGAGTGGTCAAAAGGGAAAATTAATCTCACATGATAACCATGGTTTTACTTTGTGTGGTATCTTTGTCTGAATTGTTCACACGTTTTATTTCTTTTTGGTCCTATGCAGTGTAAAATTCTGTATCTTAGACTCCCAGAATCGACGCATACATTGTTGCTTAGGACTTGTCATGGTATTTAAATGACTGTAGCCCAGTGTTGCATTATTTTGCATTGTGGATCATTGCAGTTAGTGGCCTTGTCCTCTAATTATTCCTATACAGGTAAATCTGATAGGAGTATCTATGCACATAAGCTCCATTTTTTCAGCTGAATATAAGTATAGTTGATATCTCAAGATAATGGGGAAAAGTTGCAGCAGATTGTTTCTTGAAATCCTACTCAAGCCCCTTACAGCCTTTGTTATTAAGAAATCTGTCCTTAGCTATTAGGAAATCTTACTTGCATACAAATTCAAAGATAGGTCTTAGCAATCCATCTTGGCAATTGAAGTTATGATTGTGTATATTTTATTATAGGTCTAGACTTTCTTCTTTTTCTTTCTCATTACTTCATCAGCTTGCCTGTCTTATCCTGCAGTATTCCCTCTATGTCATTTTCAAGTGCCCTGTAAGCTAAAAGCCAAGTTATTCAACTCATCACTCATCTCTGATGTTTTGCCTTCTTCATTACCAGACTACAATATTGAAATAGTGTGTTATTTCTTAAGATTATTCTCTAAAAACTTTAGTAGATTTTTCCTTTATTGTGTTACAGCTTCAAAAACTGGTTTCTGTGTCCTTGCGCAGGGGTCATTATTGCAACATAAGTGTGATTCTGCTCAGCAGATTAGGAGTGAGGAGACACATTTAGTCAATGTTTGGAATACCAGCATAGTAAAATGTGATGCTGAAGGGCTGTAAACACAAGAAGGTTCTCTATACCAGTCACTAGGTCTCTGTTATACACAGAGCACTCTACTGAATGCAGCTGAAATCTTTTCTTTTACTTGTATAACTTCTGATCACCTCACCAAATTCAGTGATGTTACTCTATGTTTATATCAAAGTAACTATGAGAAAGATATGCTTTATTTCTGCTTGGCTTATGTTTCTATGTAGTACAAGTGATCTCAAAACCTTGTCAATTCGAGCACAGGACTTTTTAAAATTTGAAATAAATTATCCCTGCTTTTCTTTTTTTTCCCTTTCCTTTTTTTTTTTTTTTTTTTTTCCCTCTTCCTTTCCCTTTTCCCTTCTGTCTGTTTCTTGTATTGATCAAGATTCTGTAATGTATGTTACCAGGGTCATTCCAAATATTACACAGGAATCCCTAGTGAACACTTTAAGCTTTATCTCTACATCTCATTTATTTGTTTCAGCACTTCATGATAGGTACAGTCTATATTCTATATGCCAAGTGTTAGAAGGAAACACATCCATGTTTTTTGCATGCAAATCTTAGAGATTACTTTTTTTCTCAGCATGCACGTGTTGGAACAGAGAATAAAATAGTTGGCATCAGCCCTGAAAAACCCACATACCTCATGGAACAGCCAAATGAAAATAGTGGTCAGTTGGGACACAACAGTGTGTGGATGGAGTAGCAGGAATAAGTGGACTGAAGATTTTCTTCCAAGTGCATATGGATCCACACATTTACAATTTGGGCCCCCAGGATGTGCAGATATTTTTTGATTTCTAACCTTTTGGACTTTTTTTGGAGCTATCAGAAAAAAACTGTCAATATACTGTATCTTTTAAGAGGCTTACATTTGTATTGTAATATGCTTTAATTCAAGCCTTAAGCCAAAGCTATTCTTAGATACGATTTGGTGCAGGAGTGAGCTCATTTGATCACATTGGAGAGAGGTGAACAGTTTCATGGTTTCTCCTTGGATAATACAGCCACCGCACATTTCTCTGATCAAGCTCGTGTTATAATTGGTTTTGTGTAGGTAATTTGCTGGCTTTGGATTTCAGTGGATTTAGGTTTAAAGCAGTATTTCTCAAACTCGTTATGCTTGGAGATGTCTGAAGGGAGAACTAGTGGAAAAGCTAAAGAAATATAAGTCCCTGTATACTGCTGACTTGATGCCACTTTTTGGACATAAGGGAAAGTGGTTTTTACTCTAGTGACCAGAAAGGGTGGCAGTCCTCTCTCAGGCTGAAGGCAGGCAGCTGCTCACTTGCCCACATTGTCCCTTCCTTTTCTGCTTATTTTCCCCTTTTTTCCTTCTTTTTCCTTTCTTGTATGCTGGTTACCTGAACATCTGAACTTTATGCCAAACCGTTGTCTTACTAATATGTGACTATTGATGGATGATCTGATACAACCTACTCGGGTAGATAGTACGCTACCAGAAACACCTAACAGATGAAAGGGAGAAAATGTATATGAATCAGAAGAAGAAAAAATGTCAGAGGAATTTTTAAGCACCAGCACAATTTTTAATTTTATTTTTTTAGTTCTCTGGCAATGAAAATATTATTTTTTGTACAACCCATGAGTTTTTAAATGAAAACACTGGAGGACATTATTTCAGATACTAGATTTGGATGCTCCTGTAAAATTTGAGGCTTTTAATTGGATATTTTTAATACATATTTTTTAAAGAAGACTTAAAATAAACAGTTTTGACTGTTCGAACTTAATAAATGCTTGTCTATTTTATAATTTCCATCTTTGTTTTCTCTGGGAAAGTTTTCTGCAAGATGTCTTACCCACATCTACTCAGGATGCTGACTCTCATGCATCCGACTTTACTTTGAACATTTAACTCAATATGCCATTTTGGAACCTACAGGACCTTGGTGACTTCTATCATCAACGAGTTGATGACATGATTGAAATGGTCTCCAGTGACCATAGGGGGCACTCTTTCTAACCTAGTTGCCTTGATTAAATGCCTATGGTCAGGTGGGATGAATGGAAGTGTCAATCTGAGAAACCACAGAGAGATGCCTATGAACTAATCAAGTCTAAAGGAATTTTCGTGTAAATATTTTAAGAATATGTTGGCATCTAAAGAGTCAGTATGTCAAGTTTGTTAACAAATGTGACAAACATGGGAATGTTCAGCCAGGTCAGACCAGTGCCATTGTGGCCCAGAGATTATTTAGGTTGTTGGATAGAGTATTGACCACCCACAAAGGAAGTAAAGAACTCCTATTTCTGTCTGCACTTAGCCTATCTCAGGAGAAGTTGAAGAAACATTCTGTATAAAATTTGTCAGTGCACAGAGATGAGATGAATTTCAAACAGTGAAATACTTAAGCGCTTGTCTGTTTGAAAAGAAACAAAAATAAATTCTTCAGTATTTTTTCATTGAGATGGCTAGTAGGTTGAAGTGTAGCAAGGAGTTTGAAGTTGTTGAAGGCTTTCTGTACTAGCTTTCACTTAAACAAAGAAAAAGCCCCATAAATCTACAGGGAAATTTAAGTCATGCAAACATTTTACTTCCAAAAGTGTCTTATTTCTTTTATAATTTGCTGTTTGAAAGAAAAAGAACAAAAAACAAACAAACAAACAAATATCACTAAAGCAGTTTTCATTTTAATTGTTTGCTAAAACCAGATTTTGCTACCATGCCTCTCAAAGTGCACATAGTGGCCTCTCTCCAGCATAATGAACATGGAGTGGGGGAAAAAAGAGGAGTGAAGTTTCAAGATGAAAGTGTGTACAGAGGTCCCTCCTCCCTTACATCTGTAGTGGCTTAATTGGAGTGGGGAAGTCCAGAACCCTACAGGATGTTCAAATTAACTCTGTTTTATTAATTACCATTGAGACCTCCTTTTAAAATAGTTTCTTTTGAATAATATATTGTTTCTAATAACTCTAAATTGTGTAATGATTCCTTTTTCATTATAAAAATGGATTATTCTCATTAGATTAATTATGCATTCACTTAATTAGGCAATCCACATTGATCATCTGCCTTTTTCACTACATTCCTAGTTACAGATGTAAAACAAAACTAAAAACACACTTTCAAATTAGGTAAAACTGAAGCATATCAGCTATACTCTCAGTGAAGGAAGAAAAGATTAACATGTTGCCAAACATTTATTTTTTTTACATTATCTTTCATTTTTGAATTTGTGATAATTTAGGAGTTGTTTTTATAGATTTTCTCGTATTATCTGTATTTTTTACAAAATCTAAC